ACATCAATTTTCATTTTCAAACTTATCGTAGTTTTTGGATGTTGCCTCAAAAAATTAGTCTTTGTTAAAGTCTAGGCAATACATGAATGTTGTGTGTCAGCAATGTGTAGAAAGGGCCTCTGAGACAATAAGGGAACCATTATCTTGCAAAGAAGGTAAGACTGTATGCTCCAAATTTCATTCAGTTATGCACGCTGACGCAGAAGAAGATGGAATAAACTTCCGAGGAAAATACGAGAGAAATTGGCCTGAATTAACTGCTCTTCATGTAGTTGAAGACGCGTGGTTATTTACAGCTTTCTTTCGCGAATAAAAGCATTTCATTTATCATGCTATCCGATACGTTTTCTTCGGCATCTCTTTAACACTGATGTTTGCCAGTTTAACGGTCGTATTTAACAACCGTTATCAGACAATAAATAACAAGGACACAGAAAAGGATCCGAATACGTTGCACATACACCTGGCTAATACCTGGGAATGAGGGCTTATTTTCACATTCTGTTAACTCATACACTACAGATAAATTGTTGAAAGACTTTTAATGCCTTAAGCATTAAAATCGAATTGGTTTTGAACAAGTGCCTTCTACAAAGAGGAAAATCCATTATTTCCAAGCATTAAGTCTGAATACTAAGGCAACAATCAATTAATTAAGTTTTTATGGTTTATAGGCTGATAAACCACGCGGGATTTTGGAAGAACAAGAGAAGAATTCGCAAATCACGAGCCGCAGGAAACATTATATATAACTCTCAATCGAATATAATCAAGATTACTGTTTTTTCACCAAAAACATATTACAATTATGCAATACTTGGAAGGGCTTACCAGAAGGGTTTATCTTGCTTGTGTAAACTGCAACTTCCTCTTGTGGTAAACACTGAGAAGTAAGCTTGGACTGGTAAGAAACTTCCGCATATATCATATATTAAAACATCAACAATACATTTCGTATAGCAGAAAACTGAGTATTTGATAATTAAGGCTCATTTTACCTGGGTTTTTTTTTCGTTTTTTTCTGAGAGCAAACGCTCCAGTCTCAACCTGTTTAGTTCTGCTGCAGGATAAACTCCTTTCTGGTTGGACGAAAGTGGACGAGAGACGCTTTCTTTAATTTGAATGCGCACACCTGCGTGATGAATAATTAACGATATCTTCCTTGTTTAAACCTAACAAGCAAAAGAGCCTAACTGTAGATCCACTTAAGCAGAAAAAAGAGATTGTTTGAAGTTATGTAGTTGAAGCCGGGAACTGAAGAAAATTCAGATGTTTTACAGCTTGTACGAGAGCCTGCCTTAATTTTGGACTTTACTGCATTGTTCTAAACTAAAAACGTCAAATTAATTCACTTAAAATAGTATTCTTATATGACATTTCTAAAATGCTAATCTTATAACTGTCAAGGTTATTCCAAACAAGTCAATTATCCCAGCAGTGCATATTTGCGAGGCGCACATTGTCAAGACTTAGCACAAAACAAGTCAATTTCTTCAGGGACTTATTTTCTAAATTATTGTTTGAACACCCATTTTTAACTCGTGAATTGCGCATGTGCAACACGAGTTATCGTGAGTTATGGGGAAATGTGTCGCTCGCTCCATGGGTTGGAAACATTATGCAAATGAGGTACGCTCGCGGCTTACTTTTAAATTGCTGTCCATCTTAATTAAAATAAGCTGTTTTAAAGGTCTAAATTAAAAGATATAAGTTAAAGAAGACCCGGCCACCGAAAATGAGAACATCCAGAAACGTAAAATCGATGAGCAACAGCTCTCACTGGATGCGGACTTTGTATGGATTTTACAGAAACGGAAGTCGTTGAAGTACGGTAAATGCACATAGAGCGGGCGAAATGATATAAACACATAGCATTTATTTATTGTATCGCTAAAAACATTGAAAAAAGAAAGGAAAAAAATCTACAGGCACCAGGAGTCGATCGCGGTTACTTTCCAATGCGGACTTATCCATTAGCCGAAAAAAAAAAAAAATGAATATCTACATGTACCCGGAGTTGATCGCGGTCACTTTCCACTGCGGACTTGTCCACTACCC